AATTGGGTTTTTGAGGCAAATTAAACAAACATAGAACAAGTGAATCCCCTGTAAGGTCTACAGTGTAGAGACGACTTCAGATGCACAAGAGGAGTCTTTGGAATCTTGTCATTACTCACGGAGAAAAGGTCATCTGGAGGGAGGGGGAGGGGCATCACATTTTTGCTATGGGACTCCCTGATCTATAGTTACGGCCCTGTATCCATCACATACTGTATGCTTAAAGACATGTAACCACAGGAATCTCTGATTATTTGGGCATAAAGAAGCAGACGCTGTCCCCCGAGACTCGTCAACAACATTCTGTGCATAGCTTGGAATTGTCTACACTTCCATTTGTATTAACTATGGTGGGCAGTGATTGTATGTTGTTGATGGGCAATATATATCATTTGTTTATAATGGGAGTGGACTGCTGTCCATGTACAGATGGGGCTTTTATGATACAATGTGTATGGTCCGAAATGCTGGAAATCAAAGTCCCGTTCATTTGCTCAATATTTGGCTTTAAAAGAGAACTATGATGGGGGAGGGGCTTTTCACTCACCTCATAGTTCTAGCCGACATGTGACAATGAGACTGTCACAGGTCGGCTCAGTAGATCGGGAGGTGAGAGAACACATACCGGCGTTCGCTCACCTCTCGATCCTGTCACCGCTCTCTGCCGTGACAGGGGCTGATCTCCCGTTACACTAAGGAGAACTATGGGGAAAAGCCCTGACCCCATAGTTCTCCTTTTAACTCATTCCAATGTTTGATTGGTTGTAGCTTGCCCCGAGTCGGCTAACCTTTTATTGCTTAAAACTTTCCATGGGGAAAAAAAGAAAAACAAACTCCAACTGTATCAATGTAAGTTTACCTTTAATGCTGTCGTAGTGTCTAAACTGATAGGCCACATGATCCCACTCCAGGAGGGTGCAGCGTCCCTCGTAGGGATGCGTGACCACCACGTACTGCTCTGATAGGTACTCGAAGGCCTTCACGGACAAGGAAGGGAGGTTGAAGGTCCATCTATGGATGATGTCTACGGGAGCAACGAAAACCTTGAATTATTAAAGCGGAACCTTTACCCAGATCTTTCAAATAACAGCAAACGCACCTTTTAGAAATGTTTAGTAATGGACAATCTACAAACGGATACTTCTAGGTAATTGCCGGCTTTGAAGGGAATTTATCAAAACTGGAGCAAATGAAATCTGGGGCAGCTGTGCATGGCAACCAATCAGCTTCTCTCTTTCATTTCCAAATCTTAACTGAACAGACTGAAGAGAGAAGTTGATTGGTTGCCGTGCACAGCTGCTCCAGTTTTGAAAATCCCCCCCTTAGTATTCTTTGCATACCTTGTTTCTCTTCTCTTCCCCAGTCTTCTGGCAGTGGCCATAAGCGCAGATTACTAGCTCTCCTTTAACTTCCTGGTTTCCTGGCACATGTGACTAGAACATGTGACCATGGTACATCCAGTGGTGTATCTATGTTTTTGGCTGCCCTAGGCAAGCCAAGCTTCGGCCACCCCCGGCACCTTACTAGCAACCCCCCCCCCCCCGGGGGGGAT